TAGTCAAAAGCCCAAAAAAAAAAAGAAAAAGCTGAACAAAAAAACAGGACAAGAAGAAGGCGACATTGCGCAACATTTTTCCCCACTCACTCAAAGTGGCATGCTCTATCTCTCCGTTTTTATCTAAGTGTGTGGCGCCAGCCCACCTCGGAGGAACAACGCCTTGTTATTGGGTGATGTTATTTATTTATTTTACTGACTACCCCCTGGCTTAGCACTCTGCCACCATGCGAATACCAAACACCAAATCAAAATCAATGATGACAGTGGCTCACTCCCGTGAATGTACCTCGTACGATTAACATGAGATTGTAGTGCAAAATTGAAAATGCTCCCGTTGGCAGAATGTGGATAAATGGCACACAAAGACATTTATGGTTTGATATTTAATCCGGAGAGCACTCAAGCCTGCTTGAGCTTTACAATAGCTTTGTACACTAACGTCAAGCTGGGTGTGCTATCTTCGATACGAGCTTCTTTTGGTGCTTTGGCTTGCCTCGAAACGCTTTCCTTCACTGTTGTCCGCGGTTCACAAGGTGATGGATGGCGCTTGCCGCCGATCGCTCTCTCACATTGTTCCCGGGGCCTCAAAGGGCACAAACGAGCTCATTAATAAAGCCCTGTGATTAATTTCCATCCCTCCCTTCTGTGTGCCTTCCCTGGACGTCTTGAAAAAGAGGCACCCTTCTCATTAGTGAACCACACTTCCATGCCAAGGGGAAATGTAAAGCACTGCTGTTGACGTCGAAAAGAAAGGAATGTTACGATGGCGGAATTCCTCATCTGTTGATGGCTAATGACTTCAACCTCTGGGGATCATTTTATTTTCTTGGATCAAATGACATTTTTACAGCTATCGACTGATTTTTTTTTTTTTTTTTGCACCTTCCAAGATAAAAAAAATAAAATTCTCTGTGCCACATTTAAGGGGATTCAAAGGCGCTGCTCTGATTGGCCATGATTGAAGTCAGTCGTGATCACTCCCACGGCGGTGCGGCCCTCCCTCTTGCAGATCCGCCAGATCACAATGTAAATTGGTTTCTGTACAGTCATAACGATCAACACAGTTTCCGTATTTTAACTAGCTCTAGCTTCTACTTTGATAGCATGCTCAGCTATCATATACGCTCTGTTCAAACAGCCATTTTCTTGGCCAAATTCCCTTACGTTGTTCATACCTTATGTGTTGTGTGTGTACAATTAAGGTGAGGCAACTTCTACTACATTGCAAGAGAGGTATAAGATGAAAGGTTTGTCATAAGAAGGCAAAGACAACACTGGCGGGAATAAACAATTTAATTAAGTTATGATTTAGAAAAATCCAACACAAATTCACAAACAAATATCACCATGCACAAGTTTAGTATACAGGACAAAACAGTTACTTTTCAATATGAAAATACAAATCCCCATGTCAGTATCTCACAGAGATCATTGATTAATACAGCAGTATTAGGCTGGAGAACACACTATATAAGAGTCATAAGGTCGTCTTGGGTGGCCGTACTTGAAAAATAGATGCAAATATATACAGTTGTAGGAAATACACTTTCGAGCCACAAGCACTTCAACAATGTCATCCCTTTGAAGACGAGTGCACTTGCTGCTTTTTGAAATCAGGACACTTTCCGTTGATGCTTGAAAATCACCTTCTGATTTAAGGCCAACTACAGACATTTTGTACTACAAACTAACAACACACCCAAAAACAAAAACAACAAAAAAAAAAAAGTCTTTTCCAGCAAAACGTGTCCCAAAATAAACAGACAGAAAAACACGATTGCCCCAGAGTCTCATCCTGGGAAACTATATGGTGACTTTCGTGCCACAGACTTTAACGTTATACTTCGGAAATGACAGACAGTTGCACGTGATGCTCATCGGCTGTCTCATCCTGTTGACACATTCATCCAAACTCAAACCCAGAAACAGTAACCTGTGAGCTTGAACAACGCTAAGAATTTACAATCACTCAATGCTATACACAAAGCTCTGACGTACGATAATATATAGGCGCTTACGACATGGACTATGTAAAATCAATTTCTGCTTTCCCTACGTCAAGGACCGTCACCCTCTTCTGCGCCAATTTTAAAGCGAATGAGAGGAGCCGCTCCGATTGGCTGTGAAGTTAGTCGCCTGTTCATGTCCACCGTGCCGCTTGCCGCCCGTTTTTAACTGCGCCAAGCCAGACTGTGCTATGAGCCAGACTTGCTGAAAAAATGACTTAAGTGGTTTCATATGTTGTCTCAATAAGATACGTTTCGGGGCTGTTTTGCTACTTCTGGTACTGGATGAATTGACTGTGTGCCTGATATCATGAGATCTGAAGACGACCAAAGAATTATGAGGCACCATGTAGGGGTTGGCGTCACAAAGCTGGGTCTCCCTCACGGGTTATTATCTCACAACGGGATAATGACTCAAAACATGCTTCAAAGGGTGCCCAAAATGGCGAAAGACAAAGCTCTGGAGAGTTCTGAAGTGGCCAGCAATGAGACCAGACCTAAATCCCATAGAACACCTGTGGAGAGATCTCAAATTGGGCAGTTGTGAGGAGGCACTCTTCAAATCTGAGAGACCTGGAGCAGCTGGCAAAATAAGAGGGGGGCAAAATTCCAGCAGATATGTGGAAGGAACTTGTTGATAGTGGTAATTTTTATTTATTTTTTGGGTGGAGTTCCAATGCAAAGAAAAGCAATACACGTGAATACCGAATAATTTGTAATTGTTCACGTTTTATGGGAGAAGTGGTGCATAATATGGCAAGTGCACAATTTCATTAATATGCAATTGCGTCGATTTTACAAGGGAAGGGCTCTTTCCAGTGCGAGGCAGTGAAGAACAGTTTCAGGAATTTCACCGTAGAATTTAGATTTTGGAGGACACTGGTGTGTCCAAGTCGGAGGGGTTTTAAGAATAACGTCACCGTGATGGTGATGTAGCACAGTAAGCTAATAGCAATCAATGTTTTTGAAGATTTACTTGCAACAATCAATGAACCAGGAAAACAATGTAAATCACTGCACTAAAACTCCTTCGATAAAAGTTTTAAGGAAACATTGATTGTATAACACACACACCTTATATGAGCCAGGTAGTGAACTAGTCAATGGACATCATCGACGGCAACAGAACAAAATGAGAACGTCAAGTAGGCTATCAATCACCTCAGTAACTCCAAAAACGACAGCCATAATAATAGAACAGAAAAATCCATATTCCATTGCCCAACACGCGCAGAGCCTTATGAAACCAGTCAGGTAGCCGACAGGTCAGGCCTGATTATGCCAGCCTTTTTGGACTTTGGCGGCGGCCCCGCACCTGTTCAGATGGCCAAGCGGGGACGTGCAGTCACCTTGCATCAGCTGCGTGTGCTTTTCGTGTGACTTTGGGAGTGGCGGGAGCGAGCAAAACTACAGATGATGATGATAACCTCGAAGCTGATGACTGCGCACAGTCCCATGCTCAGCAAAGGCACTCGGTTGCATTGTTCCACATCCATCTGGGCACCATGAAGACTCCAGTGATCACATTGCAGCCCTTTAGTGTCTTTTGAGATGAAGGGGAGAAAACTCCCTCTTTGTCGGTTCTCGCCATTTATTCTGGTAAGAGCGTCGTAGTAAAACGGCAGCCGTGCTTTTTGCCGCACTTGCAGTCAGGGCAATGCCAGTTCTCTTGCCATAATGGCCCAATATATTTTGGACCCTAGACCCTACACTGAAAAAAAAGGTGGAAAAAAAAAAGGTATCTGGATTTAAATGCCAGTTCTCTTGCCATAATGGCCCAATATATTGTGGACCCTAGACCCTACACTGAAAAAAAAATGTATCTGGATGTCGCCGATTTTATTTCGTGCAACCACTTAACAAAATAAAATGGAGTAAACTCAACAAACACTTGGCTCAGTGTGTAGATTGTAAGCAAACTGTCATCTGCTTCACTCCCTGCCACTTTTGGCATACCTATGTCAGTAGATTTGCTCAATATACGTCATACAATTTCCTTTCTCCCCATTTTTCCAACACAGTGTCCTCTTAGTGATGCAAAATGTGTAAACAAACATGGGCTATGACTTGCCTGCGATGTCAACGTCGAGTCTGAACAACTGAAAGAAGTGTGGGGTCAGGTGAAGGCACTGTCATTCATGCATTGGGCCAGGCAACCGTCGATGATGGTACTTGCACTGAAGGTCAGTGATCCCCAACCACCGGTCTGCGGACCGATTACAGGGCCTCGGCCCATTTGGGACCGGCCGCACCGAGACAGCCCTGCGAGCTGTGAGCAAATGTACTCCATCGAATGTGGCGGGAATGTGCGCGACTCGAGTCAATCGGGGTCTCTAACATTGGTTTGCGAGTTGAAATCAAAAGAATCGGCCAATAAATAAGAGAAGAAGCGGTAAACAGAGAGGAATAGTAACAAATTGTCCAAATGTACAGCTTTATACGCGCATCTGATGGGCAGCCATGACTTCTGAAGACGAAGCTACTTTGACGAGAGAAGTTCCTCCCCTGGCGACGTGGAAGAGGAAGCTGTTGTGCGTGTCGTATTGTCAAAAACATGACAATACAAGAAACCCGTTGATTCGTTTGAACAAGCAGCACCCGAGTGATCAAGTGGAAAGCATGAAAATGCCAGAAGAGTTTACCTGCCCCTGTGAACATGAGCAGTTTTTGTCACAAACAATGAGCCGACAGCCACCGGATGAAAGCAGCAATCAATTGCGTCATCTTTTGCCAAGTTGTAATGATGCTAACGCCGTAGGTAGGATCGTAGCTTCCAAAATGATGATGTTTACGGTATAAGGCGCATTTATTGTTCCTAATTGGTCCATTTCTTAGTCGTTCGCTGTGTTATTTTATTTTTCTCTACATTTGTTGTGCGGTAGAATAACACTGTCTCAAATGAATGAATGTTGTTTGTTTTCAGTAGCACTGCAATGTAAAAGGGATGAAAAAAAAAATCTGCTGGTCCGCATGTGCTTGTTTTAACCGGTCCGTGACACAAAAAAGGTTGGGGGGCCACTGCTGTGGGTATCTGAAAATAAAAGCAGAATAGACATGGGATTTGTCTGACATGGTAGCACATCCCTTCTGTGAAAAGCAAGCTTTTCGCTAGCTGAGCGTGATGGACATTTATTATTTAAGGGTATGAGATGGAGAGAATGTAGCAACATCTTTCACGGCATTGTGGAGAGGGCCTGGGGCGCATAAGTCTGGAGCCGGACAACAGATTGGAGCGAAGAATGCAGAAACAAATTTTGCTGTGGGGCAGAGCCGGTCAATTAGCAATACAATTGCTACATTTCAGTAAAATGGTGATCTTCAATCTATTGAATTGATTTCTTTCCGTGTCGTAGTACCAACTAAGTGCTGTCGATTTATTTGATCGCGCGACATGAATTTGGTGAAAGCGCTGGCTCATAAAATTGCATTTTGAGAGAAGCAAACAATGGCAACGGACGAATCTTCCATTTTCTTGATGAACATTTCACCATGCAAGCGGCCTCTTGCCCAACTTGGTATGGAGTGCATGTATCAAATGGATTTTAAGGCAGTCATATACTTTACAGACACGTCGTATCAGTCATGTCGATGTGATAACCTGGAAAAGGAAACAGCGCGGTGGCACTTGCAACTCCAAATGAAACACTGGCAGGTATCATGCACCCAAATTCTCATCTCTACCGATACGCGCTCTTGAGCACTTGTGCCTTCTGAAGGAATCCCAAGTGCTGTCTCTGAACCTCGGGCCCGCCAGTGGAGGGATCCAATTCGGACAGGCAGACTGAAGGGACTGGAGGTTGGGAGTAGACATCACCAGACAAAGTAGAGCAACGCGCTGATGAGCGTTGCAGAGAGGTTGGATGGCTTCGGACGGCACGCCCCTGAGCCCCGCGCTCCCATGCCTGCAACGAAAACCATCAGCTTGTTAGCCCGTGGAAAAGCACACGTGCCAGCGGAAGTTATTCCGTCGACATTGCTAACAAGGCATTGTAGAGCTTTTAGTTTCTGGATTAGTTCACCTGGAAAATCTGAAACGTGTCTTGGATGTTGTGTGAAAGTTTCTAAGTTCAGGTTAAAAACTATTGGGGGTGGGCCGGGGGGTCCTCCCCATGCTTCCATTTCAGCTCTTTTGGAGCCTTTTTAAAAACATTTCTTTCATCTTTTGCTTGCACTGTACAGTCCATTCTTCTATTGGTGTATTTTGTTTTTAAATGTTCAATGTTGAACGTTTTAATGATGTAAAGCACATTCACTTACCTTGTGGATGAAATGCACTGTATCAATAAAGTTGCTTTGCCTTGACTTGCGTATAAGTCCAAAAAGCAATCAATTAAATGAGCTTTCAGCATTTCTTTTTACTGCGCGACCCCCACTTTAACATTGAAATGTTTGAGCTCTTTATTTATAATTAGAAATTCCTCGACTGGCAAACCAACTCGCCAAGGTTGGGGGCATACATGCCGCATATTATAGTTGACATTTTTCAACTACACGGCGCAAGAAAAACAGCTTTGTGGCCAATTATTCACTGTCTCAAGACACACCCACAGAGGGCACAACCATTTATCTGCACACGAGACTTTCACTCATTAATAATTAACTTGGAAGGGAACGTCTAAATATCCAGGACCGTATTCTAACTTTACGGCAAAGAAAACGCTCCCCTTTCTGCTTTTCAGAGCATTTTGGCAAACCACCAATGCAGCACCATGCACAAGTAATTATTTATTTTTCAATTATTATTATTATTGGTATTTTGTCGGCCGGCTTCAGTAGTTAGTGTGTCCCTGTCGGCCCAAGCATTGTTGTGTGACATCGGATTACTCTGCGAACACTATGGAACATTGATTTGCCCTTTAGGTTGGTGTACGGTGCGGTTTGCGGCTCAGCTTTTTCTACCTTGCATGTTTGGTGGATTGCAGCAAAAGCTTTCAAAGCAAACCTTGAACCGTGACAGCACATACGCTAAGATGGTGCCAACAAAGCGTGAGAGTCTATTCAATTCAGGATGAAGTTTTTGACATGGTAATTTTTTTTTTTTCAGTTCTTGGTTCAAGTGTGTGGAAACGAAATCCATACACAGAAACAGCGGAAGAAGAGAACTACCATGCACGTACTCTATGCTGGAGGGCTGCTTCGCGACTTTTTTCTCACGCGCCTTGATCGCAAAGCGCAAGCAAGACGCAAGGGCCAACTCACTTAATTTGTGGATGTGGACGGGCTCGCTGCCGGCACCTTCACCTCCCTCACTCGTGGCCTTGATCTGAATGAGATAGTTGTCATTGCCGGGCAGGCTGAGCTCCACGGAGGTTTTATTGGTGACAAAATAGTTGAGATCGTTGTGACGGTGTCTTTTCAGCAGCACCTACACCAGAGGACAAAGGCAAAGATCGTCATCCTTTCATGTTGAAGCGCCATGAACTTTACGTGGAAACGAAGCCTACCATATAGCCGGTGACGTGTGATTCTTTCTCGGTGGCTAAAACAGGATCCCAATGCAGTGAAAGCGTGGAGCCAATCATGGACCATTGTACGTTCAGAGGTGCCCGGTCAGGCGCTGGATAAAGATCAGGAGCCGGTGGGATATCAGTCTTTATATATTCGGCATTTCTCAACTTCAAAGAAGCATACGTAATATATATTTTTAATGCTCAATTGATGATGATAGAACCTCATGAAGATTGATCAAAGAGATCAATACTGCTACCGATACTTGCCAATTTGCATTGGCTTCCGGGCCATTTGAGATGCAATTTCAAGGTTTTGCTATTTACTTCTAAAATATTACACGGCTTAGCACCTTCCCTTATCTTGTTGACTTAGTGACACGTACGTTCCGCCCCGAACTCTTCGTTCACAACACACGCCAAAAAGAAGTCCGCAGAATCCCACAGTTGACAAACACTGTTTGTGATTAAGAGCTGTAGAGATAAATGTGACTTGACTTGAATTGATTCACAAGTGCAAAGTAAAAAGAGAGACGCTTCTTTCGAGAAACCTGAAGATATTTCAGGACGTTTCCTTTAAGGTCACCCGTCCTCATCCAGCATCATTCAATAAAGCGTAATACAATTTGGTGTCGATTCATAATTTTAAAGGCCTAACGACATCAGTTGGGCCGGGAGAGCCCCCCGGAAATGAGAACGATTAAGGAATTAATCCAGCTCCCCCCTCGGGCTTTACTTACGTGGTTTCTTTGTGGTGATGTTGATCGGCACCGACTGCGGCCCGGGGCCGGCCGTATTGCAAGCGGACACTGCAAGATAGTACGCTGTATTCGCATTCAGCCCCGTGATGTTAACAACGGTGTCGTTTCCCGATATGCGTACTTTGCCTACAGTGTCAGGCTTGGTGTCGTCCTCCCAGTAAACAACCTGTTAAAGGCAGACAGATTTTGATGAATTGCTGAAATCAATATTCCGCTTTGAAATCTCCACGTGTGCAGACAAACAGGGAGGAAGCCATGATGAACACAATAAGAGAGGGCTCAGTGCCAATGCACATCTCCTCCGTGCCTTGACAGTCACGTACGGCTCTGGGCATTAGTGCATCATATGATCATGTCACCGAAGGAAATGGAATTCCTACCTCAATGAAATTGTACAAAGGAATATTGTTATTTCGCGTTGTTGCAGTTCACTTTTTGTCAGTTGTAAGTTACATTGATTGATGAATGAGTGCAGGCTTGTGAAAGCAAGAAAGACAAAAATGTGCTTGATTTTTAAGACAAATTCAAGAGTCACATATTTGGATGAAGTGACATCGTAATCATCGCAGTCACTGAATAGCGACCTTGAGACGTGAAGTCCTCCTTAGGGATGCTTTCGGCTCACATTTATTTAATCTATTAAAGCTGTGTGATCATTGCTGGGATGCAATTTATAGTAACTGTGTGGGCGGCACGCTAATAAGTAATTAAAGTACATTGCGATTCTAAGGCCGTGCTAATTAAACGATGAATATCACACACGTGTGCTTCAAATCTTTGGATCCCTGCTGTTGGTGCCACATGAAGATTCGGGGAAAATGTGTTGGATCTATAAAAGAGCTCAGCTCTGCTAAGACGGTGTACCCAGTGCTATGGCAACTGGAGATCTTTGTGACCAGGCCAAGAGGTGACAAATATTGAAAGAAGACCAGAGAAAAGAACAAAAAAGCCTGATTTTCATTCTTGAAAGGTTGAGGGATTTTATTTGTGCTTATCGGTTTATGAAATGAAGTTATGAACGAGCATACCTCATATCCAAGCACTCTTTCAGCGATGTCTGGAACAGCTTCCCAGATCACTTCAATTTGTGTTGCGGACACAATCCTGGGTACCACCCTCTTCGGAGCCACACTGGGGACTTGAGAAAGTGAGCACAGAGTGAGAATCTGTGAGGCTCAGCACCTCACAGTCGAACAGCCATAAGTCGGGAGCGCAGGAAGGACCTGTAGTTTCATCGAAAAGCTATTTCCCCTGCTCTTTTCATGGGATCTGTAACCGACGTCAGGGAATTCTGCTGCCCTGCAAATTCAATTAACACTGTAGCTCCCTGAAAGCACACCGTGCTAAGTGTCTGCTAGGATTTCCACTAATCTACCGGCATGATAAACCGCCGTGATATAAGGGTGACATACCCAGTTTACAAAGGAAAAAAACAACAGCGGTGTTAACATCATCCGAACATTAGGAACCACTAATCTACCGGCATGATAAACCGCCGTGATATTAGGTTGACATACCCAGTTTAAAAAGGGAAAAAAACAACAGCGGTGTTAACATCATCGGAACATTAGGAT